TGTTTAGATGATGTCCTATATACACTGTACCAGAAGTAAATGTTTGGATGATGTCCTATATACACTGTACTAGAAGTAAATGTTTAGATGATGTCCTATATACACTGTAGCAGAAGTAAATGTTTAGATGATGTCCTATATACACTGTACCAGAGGTAAATATTAAGATGATGTCCTATATACACTGTACCAGAGGTAAATGTTTAGATCCTGTCTTATATACACGGTACCAGAGGTAAATGTTTAGGTCATGTCCTATATACACTGTACCAGAGGTAAATGTTTAGATGATGTCCTATATACACTGTACCAGAGGTAAATGTTAAGATCATATCCTATATACACCGTACCAGAAGTAAATGTTTAGATCATGTCCTATATGCACTGTAACAGAGGTAAATATTTAGATCATGTCCTATATGCACTGTGCCAGAAGTAAATGTTTAGATCATGTCCTATATACACTGTACCAGAGGGAAATGTTTAGATCCTGTCTTATATACACGGTACCAGAGGTAAATGTTTAGGTCATGTCCTATATACACTGTACCAGAAGTAAATGTTTGGATGATGTCGTATATACACTGTACTAGAAGTAAATGTTTAGATGATGTCCTATATACACTGTACCAGAAGTAAATGTTTGGATGATGTCGTATATACACTGTACTAGAAGTAAATGTTTAGATCATGTCCTATATACACTGTATCAGTGGTAAATGTTTAGATAATGTCCTATATACACTGTACGAGAGGTAAATGTTTAGATCATGTCCTATATGCACTGTACCAGAAGTAAATGTTTAGATCATGTCCTATATACACTGTAGCAGAAGTAAATGTTTAGATGATGTCCTATATATACTGTACCAGAGGTAAATGTTAAGATCATATCCTAAATGCACTGTACCAGAAGTAAATGTTTAGATCATGTCCTATATGCACTGTACCAGAGGTAAATGTTAAGATCATATCCTATATACACCGTACCAGAAGTAAATGTTTAGATCATGTCCTATATGCACTGTAACAGAGGTAAATATTTAGATCATGTCCTATATGCACTGTGCCAGAAGTAAATGTTTAGATCATGTCCTATATACACTGTATCAGAGGTAAATGTTTAGATCATGTCCTATATACACTGTTACAGAGGTAAATATTTAGATCATGTCCTATATATATACACTGTACCAGAAGTAAATGTTTAGATGATGTCCTATATACACTGTATCAGAGGTAAATGTTTAGATGATGTCCTATATACACGGTACCAGAGGTAAATGTTTAGATCATGTCCTATATACACTGTACCAGAGGTAAATGTTTAGGTCATGTCCTCTATACACTGTACCAGAGGTAAATGTTTAGATCATGTCCTATATACACTGTCACAGAGGTAAATATTTAGATCATGTCCTATATACACTGTATCAGAAGTAAATGTTTAGATCATGTCCTATATATACTGTACCAGAGGTAAATGTTTAGATGATGTCCTATATACACTGTGCCAGAGGTAAATGTTTAGATCATGTCCTATATGCACTTTACCAGAGGTAAATGTTTAGATGATGTCATATATACTCTGTACCAGAAGTAAATGTCTAGATGATGTCCTATATACACTGTACCAGAGGGAAATGTTTAGATCATGTCCTATATGCACTGTACCAGAAGTAAATGTTTAGATCAGGGCCTAGATACACTGTACCAGAGGTAAATGTTTAGATCATGTCCTATATGCACTTTACCAGAGGTAAATGTTTAGATGATGTCCTATATACGCTGTACCAGAGGTATATATTTAGATCATGTCCTATTTACACTGTACCAGAGGTTAATGTTTAGATCATGTCCTATATACACTGTACCAGAAGTAAATGTTTAGATCATGTCCTATATACACTGTACCAGAGGTATATATTTAGATCATGTCCTATTTACACTGTACCAGAGGTTAATGTTTAGATCATGTAATATATACACTGTACCAGAAGTAAATGTTAAGATGATGTCCTATATACGCTTTACCAATGGTAAATGTTTAGATGATGTCCTATACACAATGTACAAGAGGTTAATGTTTAGATCATGTCCTATATACACTGTACCAGAGGTAAATGTTTAGATGATGTCCTATATACACTGTACCAGAGGTAAATATTTAGATCATATCCTATATGCACTGTACCAGAGGTAAATGTTTAGATGATGTCCGATATACGCTGTACCAGAGGTAAATGTTTAGATGATGTCCGATATACGCTGTACCAGAGGTAAATGTTTAGATCATGTCCAATATACACTGTACCAGAGGTAAATGTTTAGATGATGTCCTATATACGCTGTACCAGAGGTAAATATTTAGATCTTGTCCTATATACACTGTACCAGAGGTAAATGTTTAGATCATGTCCTATATACACTGTACCAGAGGTAAATGTTTAGATCATGTCCTATATACCCTGTTCCAGAGGTAAATGTTTAGATCATGTCCTATATACACTGTACCAGAGGTAAATGTTTAGATCATGTCCTATATACACTGTACCAGAAGTAAATGTTTAGATCATGTCCTATATGCACTGCACCAGTGGTAAATGTTTAGATCATGTCCTATATACACTGTACCAGAGGTAAATGTTTAGATCATGTCCTATATACACTGCACCAGAGGTAAATGTTTAGATGATGTCCTATATACACTGTACCAGAGGTAATTGATTAGATCATGTTTAGGTACTGTCTATTTGTTTTGTTTGGATATTTTTTGCTATTTGCAATCTTTAGCTACAGCCATTATACGGCTAAGGTATAGGGTTGAGGGATACAGCAAATTTCTTGGTGTCCGTATTCATGAAACCATTCTCATACTCAACTCAAATTATGTTTTCAAGACACAAATTTTTTATTCCAGGAAAAAATTAGCAAAATTTTACATTTTGTTAATAATTTGAAGGAATTTTGTGGCAATTTTCAACATGATTTTTCGACCATATTACATATTTTAAGTGAGTAACAAGAGAGACGGTTTCAGCACAGAAACCATTTTTCAGCACGAGAACGGTTTCGTCAATACGGGCCTATGTCTCTTTCTCGAGATTAAACCGAAGGAACAATAAACAGAATGAGTGAACATAACTAAATGATGTTGCCTATTGCATTTTGCAGGACATAACACAGCATGCTGCTTTCGAGCGTGACTCTCCAAAAATAGCAAGACTTTCCTCAGTGAAACTATAATGGCGCTATCAAATGCCAACGCAAATTTCCTGAGAGAGCATGGTTTGATTGCTGAGTTAGGTAGACCATTGCATGATTTTTATTTTGGAATAATTAGCAAAATATCAGGCGGAGATGCTAGGGGAAAAACATCAGATATTCAGCGTGAACCAGAATTCAATTTGTTCTTTTGTGCATTTAAGCCAGAGTTTTTGAATCAAAACCAATCAACATTGTACGAACCAGAGAGGATACGACAGGAATGTTTGAATAGAAGTAAAAAACATCGTACTGGTCCTTGTCGGCGAGATCTCTACGCAACAGCCGAACTTCTGCAACAAGCGATCCATCTGTTCCATATCAGAGAGGACGTATTGAAAAGGGAAATCTTCTTACCACCTTTTTGCAACTTCACTCCAGATAATGATAGAATAATCAGGATACTGATACTTTCGGAAGGCGGCAAAGACGTATTTTATCAGCTGAAACAAATAAACCGGCAGGAAAACAGAAGAAGGGCAGCAAATACGAACCAGTGCGATTGCAATAAATTCCATGCCAAACTTGTTGAACCTCCTGTCCCGATGAGTGCAGGAGAACCTTCTGTCGACCAGTTGATAGCAGACCATTGGGTCTTTAGTCCACCTACAGCAAATTGTTCGAGTTTGTATCGATGCTTAAGTAAAGCAATATATGGTGACGAGAGTTTGTTTCCACTGATAAGGAATCTTATCTTGAAATTTGAGCAGCAGGAAGATTTTCTTCCGGTTTTTCAAACATTCATCACTGAACCAAGGGGACACGAATCGGCAGATATCAATACAAGAACCAAGAATCACTTCACTCAGCTTAGTAACGGTTCGAAAAATCCAGGTACAGGTGAAGTTTATGCTGCGTCTTCCCTGTTTTGTACCGACATATATATCTGGACTGAGAACGGGGGGAAATGGAGTGTGTACCATCCTCTCTTACTGCCGACAAGAACTCGTCATCATTTCCTCACGATGGCTAAATGTGATAACGACGAGTTTAATCTCCTCGTTCCAGGGACTGTTCCATGTAACTGCCAGCTCGCAAGGCCACCAGTTGAATCACTCAAAGATGAACGAAAAAGACTGGAGTCGTTAGCTTGGGGCATAACAGGTACCAAATAATTAAATTAATTCCTCTTAGTTGGCTAAGTGTTCCTGAATGTGTAACATGTAAACACATAAACCGTAATAATGTAAACTCACTCTAGATTTTCATCCGATATCGTAATCCATGACGATATTTATAACCTATCTGATATCGTAATCCATGACGATATTTATAACCTATCTGATATTGTATTCTTCAATATTAGAATTATATGACCCATTACTATATAAAACCCGTATGATAAACTTAAAGAGGTATAGTAAAACCCCTTGTCTGTCCACCCTTCTAGCGTGCATTACTTGTTTTTCGTTTAAATAAAATTCATCAAGTCTCAGGATAGGTATAAATAGAGTAGGGCAAACCAGATTGATTATGGACTCATACACCTAGGTTGCAGCAGTAAAATAGGTTTCCCTACGATGATGAAAAACTCTAAAGATACGATTGATAGGTCAAAAAGGCCAATGGTAAAGTAATGATAACAGTGAATCAATGTTTTAGAATAATTTCAACACTCAAAGTCGATTTGTGAAGATTTGATTGGTCGTTGCAAGCTGCTATTATCCAATCGGTTTGCAAGGCGGCAACAGTCAAAACGATTGACCGTGCCATAGTGTTAACTGTACTGGTTTGTTTCTTTCCGTTTTTTGAAACAGTCAGGAAACAGTCAGTTACTTAATGTATATTTTTTATAGAGTTTCAGATAACAAAACCCAATATAGCACCTTTGTGACATTGAGACATCAGATGATTGCTACACGTTGATTGAGGAAGATCAATATTGGATGTGTTGTAGAAATATATACAGTGTAGACATCATAATTATATACATATAGAGATGTTACCATGTCTATTTTTATTATTTATTTGTTTCTTCTATTGAAATTCTCAGAAGAATAGGATGACTACCCATTGGTTGAGAAGATTTCTATCATGGTGTCGAAGGTTCGAAGTTAATATACATGTTAAACTAGCATACAAACACTAAACATTCGAAGTAGCGCAATGTTTTACTTAGTGTATACGACGTCACATGAGCGACGTTCGAATAACAATACAATTCTATCACACAAAGTTTGAGTACATTGAGTAATTTCCATATGACTAATTACAAAATTTATAAACACAGGCAGTGTCCCCGCTTTCAGTTGCAGACCATCGCCATGAAAGCTTTTCTTACATTGTTTATCAAATACACTTCATGTATAAAGCAGTGTATCCGCTTATGTAATGTACATTGTATGCTTCACACATTCTTTGCATTTAAGTTACTTCGCTGACAATTTTGATATATATATAAAATATAATATATTGGGTGGCGTAGGTCTCGAGTTTGAGGCATCATTTAAATACAATTATCGAAACAACATTATAAACAATTATGCCAATTTAAGTATTATTTCGTCATTAAAAGATGGACAGTCTTTGACATCACACAAAAAAAACTACTGTTAGTATGCACCTGAAGATCTGAAACAGTGTAAACATTTTGTGCAAAATGTAACGTCTTGTTTGTCAATAACATATTTATGAATGAATGTTTCCATGGAAACAAATATTGCCCAATATAGATTTTAATTGTTTAAATGTTGTTAAATCTTACAGCATTTAAAGCCTGTTGTAAAGGGCAGAGGAGGCATGGCCCACACGCACATTTGCAGTTTCTCGCCAGTTCTCCAAATCAACAGGATCCGGACGCAAGAAGACACACAACTGCAAGTCATACCGATTATGTCGATGAACTTTTGAAACTGAAAGGTAGGCGTTTGGATAGAGTCAGCTATGTTGGTGGTACATTTCAGCAGTGCATATACGAAGAAATATATGGTACTGATGAAATGGTAACAACGACACAATTTCCGGTACCAAGCGGTGATCCAAATGACGAGGAAATCAGGAGTACTGCTAACTGGCTCAAACGACCCATCTACATATTCACTAAAAACAGGCAGAACGAGGCACACAAGTGGAAAGCATTCCTACCAACGCCAGTATCAAACAGATGTCGGTATTACGTCACCCTTTACAAAGATCCCGAGACCAAACGGTACGACAGAGTGATCCCTATCAATGGCTGCAACTGTTCCAAGTTTCCTCCAATTGAGGTCAGAATTCCAACAGGTGAATATTTTAAGATACATTTTCCGTCGCACATTACTACAGGGGTCCGAAATTGGGGTTAATGATAATACAATCATTTTATCGGTTGTTAAGTTGTTTAATCATACAAACCTATTGCATTCTTCAATTCCAACAGACAGCATCACACAAAGTATAAAACATGTATGTTATCATACTTTTGTTAAACATGGTATATACACCTCATATAGTATTACTTTCACCAATCAAAATCGTAAAATAAATACTAAATATTCAATAACTTCTCGTGATGGTTGAGATCCTCAGATATAAACAGCTTTTTGCGCGCAGGAATACCATTAACTGTTAAACGATTCAGAAACATACGTATCATGTCATTAGCTGATGTGGTATACTTCAACGTAATGAGTTGTTCATGATGGACTATTTTGTTACGCGGACGATTTTAAAGGAATGCTATGTCTGGTTCATGAGTGTACATGGCGCGAGCAAACAATCCAAATTGGAAAATCCTTTCTCAAGTTGTTCTCGACCACTTCTGAACTACTCAAGTATTCACTTACTGACAATCTGTGATAATGGATTTTTCGTGTTACCAGTAGGAGGTATAAAGTAGTATATACATTGTAGATGATAATTGATATTAAGTTATCAGTTCAAAGACATTAATATTGAGATTAATTGCTTTTTAGAACATGGTGGACGTCGCGAGATTAAAAAGGTCAAGCGTCACAATCCTATGCTGGAATATTTTCTTGATGAGAACATAGAAGCAAACATGTTAACGGACGAAAACATATATCCCGCTGAAGACATGAATCCTCCAGTAAACAGTGTACGGTCAGATATCTACCATGTACAACAACGTGACGATATGACTGACAGAATGGTTGACACTATGGATGGCAAAACTTCTCTCTTTGCATGTTTGAGTAAGGATATCTTTGGAAATAGTGAAAAGGATAACTTCATAGCAAACTTGCTTCTTAAGGAAATTCGTGAAAACGGAAAAACGTACTCGGTCCTTTACTCTGGATCCGGAAAAGCAAACGAACAAGCAGACTCGCTTGGTTCTCTACAGGGATTTGGTGAAATAGATTTACTGGCTGCTGCCACCTTTTTCCAAACAAGGATCCTAGTATTGCTCGTTGCACCAGACGGCACAAGCAGGTGGAAAGAATTCACCCAAATGAGACGAAAACGTCGACCACAAAAACTACCACAATTGCAGAGTACTTGCTCAAAAGGAGCCACAGATACAAACTGTGTAACTCTACTACGAAACGCATACGGGGAGTTCTACCGGATTGTGCCAAAAGATAACGTCTGCAACTGTCAAATGAAACAAATTCGTGTCCCGGGAAAGACGAATGGATCGTTAAGAGATGGCTGTACCGCAAGTGTAGGCGGGTTCGGTGACGTTGCTACAGAAATCCCGAAAATTTGGGCAGGTACGTATCTAGTACAAGCATGAACAGTCGAAAAAAGCTGGTACCTGTCAGTCATAAGCTTTAGAACGGAGTCATCTTTGCCCCGGATTCCCTAAGTTCTTAAGTTATATAGACTTTGTTTGTGAAATCGAGAGCTTATTTGTACGTATGTAATTGATTAATAAACGTACACATGGTTAATATTATATATAGTGCATTATTATATTGTTATATTTTTTTCTAATTTTAAACTATGTCTATATATTTATTTGTAGAAAAGAGAAAAGAGGCCATTCTGAAGTACCGCTCTTTGGATTTTGACCTAGGACAAGTGTACTGTGATATCTACAATCTTTACCGGATTGTGGCATTTCAGCTCGGGGTACACGAAGCAATCATCCGAATTTTTGAAAGTCGACGAAGAGGAACAGATATAACAACCATTACTGGATCTGCCGTATCTGGGGTTGGCACCGCGATATTGGTCGGCGGTGTGGCATTCGCGGGAGCAACAGGAGGGGGATCAGTTGCAGTTGCCGGAATGATTGTGTCCGTGTTGGGTGCAACAAGCGTAGCTGGAGGAACGTTGATAGAAGGGTTTCTTTCAGCAAAGGATCTTGGTAATTTGATTAAGATCCAAAACCTCCTGAAAGTAACGTCAGAAAATTTAGTTGCTTCTGTAAAAAAAATCAAAAGAAACATACCAAGAATTGACGGCGTATTCAGAGATGAAAGAGAAATTCTTGGGAATGTCAACCATGACAACCTCGATAGATTTGGAAATTTTCAAATTATTACTGGGGTGTGCATACTGGAAGAAACATGCCAAGCTGTATCAACAGTACTGTCTCGATTGGCACTGAGAACCTCTACGGTCATACTTGGAAGGTTGTTGGCAGGATTCTCACTTGTCCTTGACGGTGTTTTGATAGCACTGGCTGCCCGGAGTTTGAACAAAGGAAGCAAAACAGAAACCTCCGAAACACTAGGGAAAAACGCGTACCAACTGAGAGCATTGAAATCGATTCTTAAAACATATATTCACAAAGCAGACCAGTAGAATCTGTTCACAGGCTCGGACATATATTGCGACATGATCTCGAGGAATTTATAAATCAACACGGGATATTTGAACACCTAGACCATTTAACACACGGAACTTTGAACACTTGAAACCTTTGACCTTTGACATTGCATTAGCATAATGCTATTCAAGTTGAATTTTGGTGGAAACTGCCTACGAAAATGAATGCTGCCACTTAGCTTTTGAACTTCGCGTTTCGACAGATTAAAGACAAAAGTGATAAATTCCGTGCAGTGGATTCAAAATTACAAAAACTTGATAAGTCTGTGTTGCATATATACATGTAGATAGATAAGTGGTAAAATTATCTACATTTCCTTATCTATCTACATGATGATACAGATATCGTGGCAGGAAACATTACAGATAATGCTGAAATGAACATAAGGCATAAAGATCTAGAATAACTAATAACGAACTGAACATAACAGATAATAATCTAGACAGAGTGAACTCTGTATAACAATTAATAATCAAGTGAGCATAACAGACAATAATTTAGCGACCTTAAATATTTATTGTCTATTTAAGCTGGTTTCTAAAGGTTATGGTGATGGTTATTAGTTATTACTAGTTTTGGGGAGGGGTTGGTTATTACTAGTTTAGGGGAGGGGTTGGTTATTACTAATTTAGGGGAGGGGTTAGTTATTACTAGTTTAGGGGAGGGGTTGGTTATTACTAATTTAAGGGAGGGGTTGGTAATTACTAATTTAGGGGAGGGGTTAGTTATTACTAGTTTAGGGGAGGGGTTGGTTATTACTAGTTTAGGAGAGGGGGTGGTTATTACTAGTTTAGGAGAGGGGGTGGTTATTACTAGTTTAGGGGAGGGGGTGGTTATTACAAGTTAAGGGGAGGGGTTGGTTATTACTAGTTCAGGGGAGGGGTTAGTTATTACTAGTGTAGGGTAGGGGTTGGTTATTACTAATTTAGGGGAGGGGTTGGTTATAACTAATTTAGGGGAGGGGTTGGTTATTACTAGTTTAGGAGAGGGGTTGGTTATTACTAGTTTAGGGGAGGGGTTGGTTATTACAAGTTAAGGGGAGGGGTTGGTTATTACTAGTTTAGGGGAGGGGTTGATTACTACTAGTTTAGGGGAGGGGTTGGTTATTACTAGTTTAGTGGAGGGGTTAATTATTAATAGTTTAGGGGAGGGGTTGGTAATTACTAGTTTAGGGGAGGGGGTGGTTATTACTAGTTTAGGGGAGGGGTTGGTTATAACTAGTTTCGGGGAGGGGTTAATTATTAATAGTTTAGGGGAGGGGTTGGTAATTACTAGTTGAGGGGAGGGGTTGGTTATTACTAGTTTAGGGGAGGGGTTGGTTATAACTAGTTTCGGGGAGGGGTTAATTATTAATAGTTTAGGGGAGGGGTTGGTAATTACTAAATTAGGGGAGGGGTTGGTTATTACTAATTTAGGGGAGGGGTTGGTTATTACTAGTTTAGGGGAGGGGTTGATTACTACTAGTTTAGGGGAGGGGTTGGATATAACTAATTTAGGGGAGGGGTTGGTTATTACTAGTTTAGGGGAGGGGTTGTTATTACTAGTTAAGGGGAGGGGTTGGTTATTACTAGTTTAGGGGAGGGGTTGATTACTACTAGTTTAGGGGAGAGGTTGGTTATTACTAGTTTAGGGGAGGGGTTAGTCATTATTAGTTTAGGGGAGAGGTTGGTTATTACTAATTTAGGGGAGGTGTTGGTTATTACTAGTTTAGGGGAGGGGTTAGTTATTACTAGTTTAGGGTAGGGGTTGGTTATTACCAGTTTAGGGAAGGGGTTAGTTATTACTAGTTTAAGGGAGGGGTTAGTTATTACTAGTTTATGGTAGGGGTATAATCACTTCGTTATAAGTAAACAAACGGTTTGTTGGAAGCACATAAAGTGATCGGTGTTCTTCGTAAATGAAATATTTTCTTATTTATTATACAAACCATCTTTTCTCAATGCGTCAACATTTTACTAGTGCACAACTACAAATGTACAACTTATGTGGATGAAGGAACCATAAGAATTTGTGTGTAGAGCGTATAACGACATATGTAGAAATTGGACTTATCGTTGATTGCTTATTTGTTTGGCTTCCTGCATGGACACATACTATTTTGTTTTTAATCAGAGCTTCCCTACTACATATTCCTAGTTATTGTATCTTTATACGTATGTCTATACTTCCACAAACGTAAATACAAAGTTTAAATGGCAGAAAGACAGTATTTCTACCGCAACTAGTTTAGCTTTCTTCACCTCCGACTCATTGGATAAACCTGCTAGGAGTTGGAAACATTTTTGATAACCCAATGGTGGGTAAAACCCTGGATGGTTGTTTTTTCATTGGGCAATCATCTAATTATGACGTCGAGTACATGTAACAATGCTTTGTGACGTCATATTTTTATTGTGACGTCATAGTCCATGGCAATTGATGTATTCAAAAGAGTTTTCTATAATTTTATCTAAACGTTGTGGCAGAAAAAGGTCCCCAAACTCGATCGGTAAACCTCAGTCGTGTCTTTATACATGTTGAAAACTCGAGATACATGTGGATAAACATGATATCCAATCGTCACTCGTTGTGGAACCTCTGTGCATAATGTAAAGAAAATTATCTTGAGTTATCATCAAGTTCATTCTCATTATTAAATCACTAGATCAGGAAAACAAGTGGAACATAAGGTACACATCCAGTTGTGTAATATTTTGATATCTTTCACTCGTGCTCAATAACAAAAGACACGGTTAGATATTCTTTATATAATTATCTTACATCCCATTTTACGTGCGTGACGTCACAATAGGGCAACATTGACGTAACGTAACAAAGTCAGGAACCCTCCAATACAGAAATGCAGAAATTGCGACGCGTTTTTGTGATTTATGGGGTTTTTCTGGTGATTGGACTTAGATAAAAAAAAAAAAAAAAAAAAAAAAA